TGGATTTTTAAACAGACAATTATTTAAAGAATGGATTGTTAATGTGTTTATTCCAGAAATTATACACCAAAGAAATTCACTTAAAGTAAGAATAGACACAGTAGCTTATTTAATATTCGATGGGTTTTCGAAACATTTGGACGATGAAACCGAAAAATGTTTAAAGAAAATCATGTTCAATATATCCCCTTGGTTTTACATTCATCCCATATGACTCAGTCAATGGATTTGGGCATTTTTGGAATTGAAAAAACATTTTTGCAAAATTCAAATAACATTTGGGTTCAAAAGTATAAAAATGATATTTGCGACATTGGTGATCATTCTGTAAATACAAAAAACTTCTAGAAATATGTTCAGATGATTTTCAAACAATTTTCAAATCTTTCAATATATTGAATCAGAACGAAAAGGTAAAAAATATTATCAACTCTAGGGAATGTGTGGTTAATGGAGATAATATATTGATCGCGTTTTACAATCGGGAATCACCATTGTAAACTGTTTTTCAAAACTCTGTACTGGGATGCCCCGATTTTTTTAGACAAATAATTTCTAAATAATTTTTCCTTTGCTTAACCCTCATTTTTTGTTATAAACATTTACTCGAAAAAAACAAGATAACGAACCTGACTTTTTTAAATTTTACTTGACAAATAAATCTTGCATTTAAAATTTACTTGAAAAATATAAAAAACAAACTTGGGATCAAAAATTTGATTACCATAACACAATTTTTGCCAAAAAGATAAAACACAACTTTATAATTAAATGTCCATGTTTACAGAATCACCAAGTCGTGTTCTGGATAAAAATTAAAAGTACTAATGAGTAAAACAAACATCGAGAGAAGATAAATTGGTTAAGGCTATACAATTGAAAAGTTTTTTATTTTTGAACTGTTTATTTTATTTAAGACTCTTTTGATTAATAACCTTGATTGTTTAAATGTTTGTTTTATGTTATCGATTACTTTTTTAATTGTTGAAATAAACAAAAACTTATTATTAATTTAAGTGTTGTATCATTTGATGCAATAATGTCTTCATTACATCATTGGTTTATTGTTTTATTATCGTTTATCTTGTGTTTGTTAGAAATATGTTGTTTTACTGACGTTTAGTTACAAAATAAACCACTGACCAATAACGAACCTGGAAAATCGGGGAAGATTTACCCAATATTTGGGTAATTTTTCGATTTTTTTTGTTCGATAATTGAAACTGTATTGGTTTTTAAGGGTTTTAAACTGTGTACCGTTGTTGGTTCAACAAACAGAAAAATAAAAAATAAAACAAATAAAAAATAGTAAATAACGGGAAATTAGGACAAAGGGTTTATATAAATTTTGGAAACGGTACAGTGTTTTGGAAAACAGTTTATAATAAAAATAAAACAAATAAAAAACCCCAATTCCATTTGAGTTGTTTTTTAAATATATTAAAAATATTTATTTAATAAATTTTATAATTAAAATTAGTTTAACACGTTTCCTTGTTTCCCTGTTATTTTTTTTATGAGGCAGTGTTATTTTTTTATTTTTTTGTCTTTTGGTCTTTTAAAAAAGACTGTCATGCCGTTTTATTTTTTTCTTAACATTTTTCTGCACGATGATATTACTCAAACAAACTAACAAATAAGAACTCATTTAAATAAGATATTATATCGAAGATATAATTTTTATAAAATTTCGGGAAATCCACAATCGAAATCCCAAAAAACCCGAAACCATTATTTTCAAGCCGATAAATAGTTTCATAAAAAGTCACGAATTAGTAGAGTAAAAAAATATAATAGATTTATTGAAGTATTTTGAGTAGTAAATATACCTTGGTACCTCTTGACCGAATTTTCTTATTGACTACTATGAGGGCCCATCTAAAACATTTTCCATGTTTTCATCTTTTGGTTTTGAAGCAAAGTAGTAAACACCATTAAACACGATTTTGTACAACTTCTTATGTCACTTTTGTAGCATAAGTATCTGGTGTTTATATCTCTTGCCATTATTATACATACAAAAATATATGGAACTAAAAACAAATTTAAAATAAAAAACAAAAATAGAACATTATTGGTTGATACTAACAGTATGATAACTTTATTTTATTATTATCAAACTTTTTATATATAAAACTTATATTTATAAATATTAGTTAATAAAAACTATTTTAATTAAAAAAACTGAAAAAAATTTTGGAGTTTTTTGTTACTAATTATTAAATTATATAATAGTTTATTTAAATTAAAACATAACAATAAAAGTCTTGAATATAAAAAATTTTACTCCAAACAAAATAACCATACAATATATCAAATAAATCTATTTATACATAATATTGTCAAATACATAAGGGAATTCTTTCATACAAAACAAAACAACAAATATAAAAATATTTGATCAAAAATCATTTATTTTTATTCACTTTGTCTTCTTAGTCACGTTGCAGAAGGTTTCGTTCATTTTTCTTATCAATTTCCACAACTTGAGGCTTTTCGAATAATCTCGTGTAAAAGTACTCTGCCCCAAGCAACAACTGCACAACGAAGTAAGATGACTCTTGCAACTTGAACGTTTACAAATATAACACATTTTTTGGTTCTTTTCAGCTTTTGTAGACTTCCTTTTTTCCCTTTCCCTCTGCCTCCCCGCTTTTTATCTTTTACGATCTCTTGTTGATCATTTTCTATTTCCATCATTGTCTTCCTTTCACAACAACACGTGAAACACAATTCATTTGCACATTCTTCATCCAAAACCATATTTTTTCTATAAATTTCATCGACTTGTTTTCACACATCCATTTCAAATTTTTGCAAATTAAAAATGATATGAATAAGCTCAGGTTTGGATCTTTTCCCACAATTTTCCTTGATGTATTCCACACAAAGCTCTTTTGCTAAATTTCTCAAAAATTTTCCGTGGTCAAGTTTATCATCATAACACCTGCTGATAACAAATGTATTTGTCATTGTCATTTCCAAAATGTTTTTGAACAAAGCAAATGTACACCGAAAAGATCTGAAAGGAATCGGGAATTCAGCACAAAGAAAATTAAAAATATCAACGAGAAACTTCATTTTATTGTAGACGTTATTGACATTTGTTTTTTTCTTATTTTTTGACTCTTCCCAAATACCCACATTTTCAAGAAATGTTGTAGCGATGGAAACACTTTTGGTTTTATTTGGATTGAAAGTGTTCAATAATATTGGACCACATTCCCAAAATTTATTGAAAAGAGGATTTTCATCTTTTTCTTTTTTGTGATTTCTTCAAGCTCATTAATTGCGTTTTCCCGTTTTTTGCGTCTTCTTCTGTTTCTTTTTTATATTTTTCCATTTTCATTTTAGTGTTTTGTGTTTTCTTTTTTCCCCTATATTTTTAGCTTCCTCTGCCTCTTTTTTTTCTTTTTTCAATACATTTAATTTTATTTCGTTGTCGGTGTTTTTTTTGGTCCCATCCAAGCGGCAATTCTTTAGTTTTTCTTACAGTCCCGATTACTTCAACGTTTTCTTCCTTCCATCTTCCCAAATTTTTTAATTAGATAAATCTTGAATCCATTTGTATTTTTAGAGTGTCGGTTTTGTTGATTTTTTTAACGCCCTCAATCAACTTCTCTGCCAATTTTCTCCCGATGTGACCATCCCCTTCAATACAACCCTTGTAATATTGGAACATGTTGACACAAACACCAGTTTTTGTATCTACTATCAGAATGTATTCAAAACCTCGTCGAATTGGTTTCATTGGGTTAAAAATACCATCATGAGCACGCCCAAGAAATTTGCACATTCTTTCGTCTATACAAAGCAACTCTCCGGGATAACACACATTTTGCAATTTTTTTTAAAAAAATGTAATTTCAAAAATTCCAACTTGATGTTCTCCTTTTTAGAAGTTCCGCTCTTCGTTCTTTGTTGTCACAACGAAAGTATCTAAAAAGTTGGGCGAAACGTGTTTTTTGAAAACAAGTTTTTACAAAATCCACTCCAATTTCTTCGTCAAAAGTATCATCCAAAGAGTTTTGCCAACGAATACTGGCCAAATAAATAAGCACCCCTATAAAAGCTAAAACTTCATTTTTATTGGTTGGGGGAAAAACTGAAAATCTTTTAGTATCTTCTCGGGATTTTTGGTTTATACCCTCAACAATTATCATCATCATATCCAATGAAAAAAATGTTGAAACAAATTGGTTGGTGATTTTAAAACTGTTTCATCCAAAATCCATTTTAAATTTCGACATTCATTTTTAAATTTTTCAAAATCAAAAAAATCGTTTGTCATGTCTTTTTTTGGCCAATCCAATTCTAAACATGGATTTGACTGTTTTTGAGAAATCAAAAAGGATAAAAAACAAAACAAATTAAATAGTATAATTTATAAATTAAATAATCTATTCAAACTGTTTCTAGTGAAATTCGCGTTTGTGTATTTGGAATTGTCGTTGAAGAGTTATTTACGTATTGTGGATTTGGACAAAATGAATCTTGTGAAGTTAATAAACGTTGTGTCGAAGGAATTAATGACATTGATAATTCCTGTTCTTCAATTTGATCATTAATCTTTTCCTCTTTAAGTATCATGGATATGTCCAAGTGGTCTACATCGACTGTTAATTTCTGGAAAACTTCGTCTTCGTCGTCTGAAACCAATTCATCCCGATAATCGTCCAAAGTCTTATTTTTCTCACAATCCATTTTGTTTTTATGTTTATTTTGCAAAACAAAGATTAATAATGACATGAATAACTATATTTAATTAAATAAAAGTAATTAATTGTTTTATAATCAAATAAATATAAAATATTAATTCACTAATAGTATAATATTTTTGTGGCATTATTGATTTTGTGGTGAAATAACTGTGCAGAAAAATAAACACAAAAATAAAACCTGTTAACACAAGATTTTTTAAGTGCGTTATTTTTTGGAAAGAAGTTCAATTGAATTCTCTAAAAATAATCAAAAAATGTACTTACAATAACTCAAAAAATATGAAGTCATGTCCGTCTAAGACTACATCAAAAATGACAAGTAAGATAGAAAAACCATTAACAAGTCCTGTCTTGAGTGATTTAGAAAAACGGTGTTGGTTTAAAGTGAATTCCATCAAGACAGTTCCATTAAGTAATCCAAGGTGGGAGAAGATAGAGAAAGAATTAGACACAACCGAAATAGTAGTTGACACGTATGCCATGCAAACAGAAGGTAATGAGTTATTTGTACGTTCTGTTACTGGAACAAGCTTAAACTATATATTAGTATCCAACTTATTTCATCAATACAGAAAAGTCTTGGAGATGTTTCCAAATTTTACAAACATATTACAAATAGATGACCACACCTTTAGTGCTGTTGTTTTTGCACTTGAACCGGATTACTGTCAAAAAATTGTTATAGAGCATTGTTGTGTAACTACTCAAGACGAGTGTTCTTTATGTTTTTTCAATACAGACAAAATGAATAACCCCGATGATGAGATCTTCTACGTCACAAAGACGTCAAAAGGGTGTGATATAATCATTGAAGGACACTCGAAGGCTATATTTCAAGTCAAAGAATACTTCACATACTTTTATTGTATCCACAACAAACTCCTCACCAATATATACAACCATTTGTCTGGGGATAAAGAGGCTGAAAATATTTTGAATATGGAGAAGCAGTTATATGTGTCTATGTATTACATTCCCACCTTCCCTATTTTGTATCAGAAGAACTCAAAGTTCGACGTATACGTGAATTGTGATTTCAGTGAAGTTGTAGTAAGAGGTTCCAATAAGATACGAGATAAAGCATCGGTCTTAGTGAATTCCCTTCATAATCGAGTCAATAGTGGAATATTATTTCCAGGAAGTACAATTATTAAAAAAGGGAAGAAACTACTATATTTTCATGCTCCATTCACATGTTTTAATAATCCAAATAATGAGGTCGACTTTATTATTGGAACGACAGTAACAGAAGGAAATGCGTTTTACGGATGTCAGATTGTTACACAAAAGATGTGTGGGTGTACACATCCACATTCTAATGATAAGAAAATCTTCTTTGTTGAATTGTGTGCCGAGAAATTTTCATTTGTGAATGATGAAATTCAGTCGTATTTTTACTATCACTACTTCACACCAGCTTTCGTCGGGATGGAGGAAAATAAACGAAATAGATGTATGACCAATTTAATTACCAATAAGTTGATAATAAGATACGCCATAGACTATAATGTACCTTTGTATGTACCACCAGTTTTTGACGATACATTGTCAAGTACCCAGACACTCCTTGCACTTTCAGTGAAGCTTCAGAGTACTATTAAATTACATAAATACCAATTAATTAACAAGAAAAGGAATACTGTATATTTAAAGTATCAAAAGTGTTATTTACAAGAGTTAAGTGACAAATTACTGCTTATGGTATTTGAGTACCTGTGTTTGGAAGACGTCATTTCAGCGATGTTGACGTGTTCTAGGTTTGTGTGTTTGCTATATCAGTATTCAAATATTATAAAACAACTTTCGTTTAACATAAAGATTTCACTCAAAATTGAAAACCTCAAACTTGATATGGTCCAATTTTAATTATATCCACTTTATATCATTAACACATAATTTAACAAATGCAACCCCAGAGAAAATCGACTACAAAAATGTAATTACAAAGTATAACAAACTAAAAGCTTGGCGACATTCTTTGCCCTACAAACGTGTTGTCATCTCTCCATTTTACTCTTCAATCAATTATATAATGATCAAACAAAGTGACTCTATTGTGGTGGGGAGTGATCGGGGGTATTTCAGTTGTGTTGCGATAGAAGACACTGCTAAAACTGAAAGAGAGTGTATGCCTCTTCAGCCAATTGCTGGTATGAAGTATTATAAAAATTCCACAAATGATTTATTTGTTTATTTCCGCTCTGGTGAAATGAGGAAGTACACAACAAAGTCATTTCAATACGAATCATTCAATTGCAATAATTATAACAAAGTGGTCTTTTCATATAATCCAGTGTTGTTAGGCCTCGAACACGAGACGAACATTGCAATCTATGACTTAAACACTTGTTCTGAAGTTCTCACATTTTCGCCACATTCTGTTGAAATCACGTCTTTGAAAATGGTTGACAATAATTTGGTTCTGACATCCTCTTTAGATGGGACGTGTGCCGGTTATGACAAGCGAACGAATAACGTTGTGTTTCGCACACAGAACCATTTATGTGGAGTGACCGTTTTTGATTATTTTGATAACTACATACTGTCCGGAACAGCAAGAGGATGTGTTCGAATGTGGGACGTTCGAGCCGACAATTTTTGTTGTGATCGCCACATTCACATTGGTCCAATTAACACAATAATGTGTTACAATAGAAAATTGGTGACTGGTGGCGTTGACAAGACAGTGAAGTTTTGTCGGTTTGAAAAAGGCTGGTTTGGAGACTTGAAGTATCTTTATAACCACAACACACCCATCGATTCTTTAAGTCTTAATGATGATATTCTCTTCTCTGGATCACAAGACGGGACTGTAATATGTACTAAATATAATGTTCCTTCAGTTTCATTCAAATGAAGGCCATTTGAATGAAACAAACTTGGTAATGACTTAAAGACTTATGTATGTATATGACATATGTATTCTATTCATTTTAATTTTGAGTTCTAAACCTCAAAGTTGTCTACCTGTTACTTGTGTATATAATTTATATAGTAAAAATAACAATAAAATAACTAATCTCTTTTTTGTTCTTCTAATACTATTTTGTATAACTCAGCTATTTTGAAATAAGCCCTCTGTTGTATCCTTTTGGCTTGTTCTGATTGAACATTTCCACCTTGATTATACTACCAATTGTAAGTTAGAATGTGTTGTCTTGAACAACTAAGTAACACGTCATTGTGCACTTCACGTTGAACGACTTCCAAGTCTTCTTTTACTCCATTTTTACTCGCAAATGATTGTATTCTTGCTTTTGTGATTCGAGCAAGTATATTAGCCCCATCAAACTTCAAACCATGTTGTGAAAATTCAAATATTATAGTCGGGTGATAAAGGGGATTAATTTGGGACAGAAGTAGTTAATTTGAGTAAATAACAATAAAATATAATTTTTTTAACCATAAAAGTATTACAAGGGTTTTTCAATTAACTACTTTGAAAATATTAAAAGAAAACCATATCTTTCTATTTTTGATATTATTCAATCTTTGAAAATAATGGAAAAAGAAGAAAAAGGAACCCTCGATGAAACAACCACAGGCAATCAACATAAAAAAGCAATTCAAATACAAGAAACAAGTTTAAAAACTGTATTTCAATATATATATTTATGATGTATATGGTTAAAATGCCAGAGTTTAATGAATTAATAACAATGTCAATCCTTTAAAGTATCACTGAATCACTGAAAATTCATCATTTGTTAAAATCTTTCAATCTTTGTTGTTGAACCATTCCCATTGAAAAAGGAAAAGAGAAAGACCATTTTAACACCAAAACAATTGGAGTTGAAGAAGAGTAGAAAAGAAATGAAACAAAAAAAACAAAGGAAAACTTCTTTAACAAAACAAGTTTCAGACAAACCAAAAAAAGTGCTGCATTTTAGAATTCCACATTTCTCTAAGTGAACAAATTGAGGTGTTTTTGTTTATTTTTGAAATAGAAAATTATAATTTATTTATAATTTATAATCATTTAAAATAAAAAAATATAATTTATATTAATATTTGAATTTTATGTTTATTTTGACCTTTAAATGGATTTTTTTTAAATTATAGTTTCAAAATTATATTTATCATATTTAACTACCTTTGTTATTTTTTAATGCTATTTATCCCCCGATTATATATCTCTTTGAACTTTGGGTGTTTTTTTCTAAAAAAACACTTTTACAGATTTTGTTTATTGTAGTATTTAAGAATGTGATTTTATCACTACACCCTCGGCTCGACAAATATTATATACTCAAAACGGTGTTACAGATAGAGTAATTACAGTCAAAGGCGTCTATTTGTCGTGAATCCAACAGAAAAACGTATCTATTTGTCGTAAACGATTGAATTTTGTAGAGAATTCTTTTTAATAATGAAATTTATTTTTATAAAAAAATTAGGTTTTAATCTAACAAAAGTTAATATATTCTAACTTTTGTTGAATTAAAGTTAAAAGTTCGAGAACAAAACATTTAATTGTCGTAGAGTTGGTGGGAAAAAGTCCGGTTCGAAGTAGTATATATATTATGGCGATTCTGGGAGAGTACCTCCCCACCTTCATCTATATAATATGCTTAGTGACTTAGTTTCCTCTTTCCCTCTATACTAAAAAAATAAAAATTAATATTTTTAGAATAATCAGGTCATTATAATATTGTGTTGTTAAAATAAATGTAAGGCAGAGAACTTTCCTTTTTACTTTAAAGGGGTGGAAAATAACTGCTTTTGATAATTTAATAGTTAAATGATAATATGATTATAGTTTTATTGTATAGTTTATTTTTTTTCCTCGATTTGATTCAAAAAACAAGATTTACAAGAGTCTTTCTGACTTTTTCAAGATGCCAATGTTTGTTATTGAAATTTGTGAATTATTTTTTACGAAAAGTAAAGGTTGGATTTGCCGAATGATAAAAGGAGGAGCAAGAAAGATTGACTTCGAAACTGTTCTTTGAAGCCAAAATAACAAAAAAAACAACTCAGAATTTATCAAATAAAAAGTTTTTTTATTAAATATTTTTTCATTTTTTGCAGAAATAAAAAAACTCAAAAACACTAACCCGCGAGTGTACCTTTTTTTCACACCCTTTTTCACTCCTTATATTTTTTTTCAATTTTTTTAATCGTCCATTAAACAAATACTCAACAGTCAAATCGATTACCTCTCGAGCAACATAGTTAATACATAGGCCAGCACATGTTTTTAATACACCACTTTTCAATGTCTCTCAGCAAAGACCGACTGCACCTTTATTCCACACCCTCTTTTGTTGGATTCCTCATTCGCTCAGAAATGCATTTCAAAGCCAAACTGGAAAAACGCACTTTGGACTTACTCACCAACCGAACGTGAGTGCATCCATTTCCAGCAGTTTTTCAAGTGCATGTCAAGCATACGATAAATGACTCGTTATTTCGTTGTACTTGCTTTTTTGAAACTTTTTATAAAATAAACGAAGCAATTTTTTAATATTGGTCAATAAAAACAATGTAATACAGATAATTTTATGTAAATTATCAGAAGCGGTAAAAGGAAGCTGCACATGTCCGTTATAATTTCTCGTGTTTTTAGCTTTTTTCCACCAAAACCTCAATTATTTGAGGCAAATTGAAACTTTGGTTATAATTGTGTGTAATTTTATCACTAAATGGTAGTAAAGCGGTTTTCCCGCCGTGCAGAGAAATGTTAAAAAAGACTGGGAGGATACTGTGGACGATCCGAAAGTGCGGCAATCATTTCTGTATAGTGAATAAATTCAAGTTTATTGTGTTTTTGTATGTTATTCAATACATTTGGTTAAAAAATATTTGTATGCCTAGAAAAAAACACACTATTTTTTCACAATTTAAAAAGGCAATATTTGGTTATTGGATAAGTTTTTATAATAAAATAATAAGAATTTGGTTTAGAAAAGACAAAAAAGATCTAAAGCGGTTTTCGCCACCGTATTATTTTTTATTTTAAAACTCGGCAAAATGCCAAAAACGTTATTTTTCTATACAATAAAACAAGTAAATGGTAGTGAAGCGGTTTTTCCCGCCAGCCAAAATGCTTGCCCAAAAGTGCATTTCAATAAAAATTGTTGAAAACAACATGGAGACAATGACTGTTATCAACTTAATACGTTATTAAAAAGACATGGTGCCAAAGTGAAAGTTGATGTGTTGTTTATCTTAAATGTGTTTTTATACCTTTATCCACTAATTATAAAAAATGATTATCAACAACTTTCTTACTATTTGATGGACTATATTGTTCATTTTATTACAGTAAATATATGTAATATTTTGGGATTTAAGCACATACTTTTATAAAGAAGAATAAAATAACCAAAATCATTAATAAATTTATTATAATTTATACTATAACTTGTTTCAAAAATTGATCAAATGGTGGGTCTGAAAAGGAATGAAAACTACTCTTCACTTGTATAGTTCAAAAGAGATACACAACGACAACCACGGCTTCGATACGTTGTGTCAAATGAATCAATTCTATTCGGATTTGAGCATAAGTAAAATGATAATTATGGTTTTTATTATTATTTAATAGTAAATTTATTAAATTTATTATTGATTTTAGTTTCATAAATGGTTAAATTATAATAATTAATAGTTAATGTATTATTTAATACAATTTCATTTTTACCTTTCGCAATGTCATTAATTATAATATAAATTATAGATTGACAACATATTAAACATTTAAAAACAAAATTATTTTTCATTTGTAAATATCCAAGCACAATAATAATATAATGCACCAACTTTACTAATAATTAAAATTTAATAGATGGTATTGTTTTATCACAAACATGATCTTAAAAAATGCAAGTTCTTTTTTTACCAATTATAAGGGTTTATAAGGAGATCTTCAAAAACTAGAACAGCAGATTATCCCGTATATTTCAAGGTTAAACTAAGTGTTTATTATGTTTAACAACATCAAAACCACGACAATGACAATTTAGACTTAAATTCATGTGTTTATGAAGACAAAATAAAGCACAAAAAACAACAATGACAAAAAGACTTAATTTAAATTACTCTGAAAATAAGAAAGATGATGAGACAGACTGCAAAGATGATAATTTGGTTTGTTAATTCAAACGATATAAGACTAACAAACATTGTGTTTACTACATTAATATATTATAATAAAATTTAATTGAAAATTCTTGTATATTTGGTTATATGTCTTGCGATTTTGAGCTGTTTCCCGTTCACTTACAAATAAATTCTGTAATAACTCAGCTTTTCATTGTAATATAAATAGACTTTAACTGCCTTCTTCTAAACACTTCGAAAAAATGCTCAGGCAAAATGTAAACAATGTTTTTTGTTTAAATAAAATAAAATCAAATAACATTTGAAAAACATTTTACCATTATTCACCAAAAATTATCAAAAGCTGGTTTTTTTTCCTGAAGCAATTTTTCCACCCCTTTATATACAGAGAGAGTATTAAATGGGTGCCAGAAATTTAATGGGTGCCAACAATAAAAATAGAATAAAAAGAATGTTTTTTAAACAATGAAACTTATAAAATAAAAAATGACGGGTTTTAAAGCCAATTTATTTATTTTCCAAAAAAATGAGTGCCAAAAATCATAAATAGCAGTCAAAACAAGATAATATTATCAATTTTTGTGTATTCGAAGTGTTTGAACTGAAAACTTAATTTGTAATGAATGATTAGAAATCAACCTAACTATATACTTTTATTTAAATTAATCAACGTCTTCACTGTAGTTTTCAAGTATTTCCCAATCCACTTCTTCAAGCTCAAATTGTTCCATATTTATTGCGACAAATGGACCAATTTGGAGTTGTCCAGACATTTGCGGTATTGGTTGAAAAATCTCTTTTACATCAAATTCGTTGGGCCAAGATATACTATTTTTAACAACATCTGACAAAGTCTTGATGTGTCCCAACAATGTTGATACATCATATTTACAACGCGTTTCATCTAATACACTGAGAGAAATACAACTAACTTCGTTTTGTGGAGCAGTCAAAATTTCCATTAGTTTCTTGTTTACAAAAACATTGGTTTCAAAATATGTTTTGAATTCTTCTGTTAGTCTCTTCGCAGACTGAATATTAACAAAGTATTTGAATGAGCCGCCAACAAACTTTTCCACCATTCCAGCTCTTTCAAATGATGCGATTACTGCGTCATGTGTTGTTGTTGATTCTATTGAATTTGACATCTTGTCGACCATATTTTTTAGGCGTTCACCATTATGCATCCGTTCGCGTTGTTTTATAGCGTCGTGTGCTATATTACTTGTTGATGTTAGTGACAATACCAATTCTTTTAGTGCTCCATGTAAATCAATTTCTTCTTGTTCATATCTTACAGAAGAAACACAAAAAGCACTTGGAATTTTGAACTCCGTGCGAGAAGTTGTTAAAAGTTGTTTTGTACTAATAGAAATTCTGAAAATGGAGTACTTAAAACATTTTTCTTCTTCCAAGACCCAAAAAATGAAAGATCCAATGGTTGAACTAAATGCGAACAATGAGAAGTGTACTTGTGGAGTATAATGTAATACTCTTGAAGTTTTTCTTTTAACGAAATGAAATCATGTCCACTAAATCCGTCAATGGTTATCAACGCGGGTGAATCAAATGGCAGTTTACTGGCAATGCGCTTAAATTGAATGTATGGTACAACTACATTGTTTATCCAGCTATTAAATATTTCTTTTGTTGCAAAACCAGTACTACTATAATAAAATGATGCATTAGAATGTTTTCTTAATAACTCAATATCAATTGATTTGTTTGCGACAACAACGCATGGAAATACAACCTCCCCATCAAGACATATCATACATATTACAGTTGTTCTTTTCCCGCTTCTCCCTACGCCAATTTTTTTGTATTGTAATAATACATTTTGTGGTACAAAAACTTTTACATTTTTATCACAAAAATTTTGAAACCCAATTTCATCAATATTAAATACTAGTCTCATATCAATGCCATTATTACGAGCAAGTTCCAAATAATTGTCAACTATCTGAGATGGATCAATTAATTAACTTCCTATATCCTCGATTTTTCCTATAATACTTTTTAGATTGAAAGTTTTTAGAACCCATTTTCTTACTGTTGCGGTGTTAAATGAATTTCCGTTTATTTTTTCCACTAATTTAACAAAAGCAGTAATAGTCAATGCTATTTTTTCTTTCGCACAAAAATCAATAAATGACTTCCTTTTAAATTCCATTCTCTTATCAAAATATGTGGGTCTTCCGATTCTTTTTCTTCCATTGGTAATATTATCATTGAACGCTAATCGTTCTTTGTTAACTATAAAATAATGTACTCTGAATAACACACCCACTGCTCTCAAAGTTACGATTTGTAAATTACCATATAAATTAAATAATGTTTCAATTTGGACTCTTCGAGTTTTCAATTTGAAAAAATCGTTATCATACTGAAACAACTTGAGAATGTTTTTGGCATTTTTTACATCCTTGATCCCGACTTTCTTTGTTTTGTTTTCTTCTAAAACCAGTGTTGCATTATTTACATTGATTTCCATATCTCGATAACTTGATAGTCCAATAATTAATTCATTTAGTTTTTTAACTTTTTTCTCTATTAGTTGTGGATATTTATCAATGAAGTTTGGAGACAGTATTTCAAAGGCATGATTGTATGAACGTTTGAAAAAGGATTTTGTTGTCCCATCATGTCCAATTCCATTTTTTATTTTTAAGATTTTTTTAATATTGCATTGTTTTTTATATATAGTTTTTATTGTTTTTTATGATTTAAAAAAAGAAAATGTATTAAAATTAATTATATTAATATTTTATATAATTAATACATTTTATTTAAAGTAACAAATTTAAAAATAATTCTGGCACCCAATAAGTTCCTGTCACCCCTTAAATACCCGATCTGTATTATGTGCATAAACAATACACAAGTTAAAAATGAAAATCATCAAAAATTGGATTGATATCCCTGAAAAAACAGGTCAAAACAAAAACAAGGGCGTTATTTTAAGTGTTACAATTTAATTTATGTACACAAATCTATTTTAGGAAGTGTACAACAATTTTCTGGTCGACTTTAATTTCCAAAAAATAACCAAAAACAACTAACCAAATATCGTTATTTGGGCAACTTGGCCAATTTTCATGCTGTCAATCAATTTATATTTTGTCAATTAATTATTCTGCTTCCTGTAATAATTAAATAAACTGTCAAAATTTATAATGTTGTAGTTCAATTATATTTATGTTTCACGACCATCTAGTGATAACTTAATTATTTGTTTTAACTCAACACCACTTTCCTATAAATATAGTTTAATTAATAAAATAATAATAA